TAATGATTTATCCCGATCATTTCAACTGTAATTTTAGATTGAAATTGTTAGATTATAATCGAATAAAAATCGATTATTTCGTAGTTATTGAAATTCTTTTTACGTCAGAATATAACCATGCATCTATAGATCCTTTAACTGCAAGACTTATCTAACAATACACTGATAGTTATATACTTATGTTTTTTGTTTTTATAGCTATAGTCTGTGATCCAGCTTTTAGATAAATATTCTATAAATTCTAATTTTCTTTTCTAATATTATCTAAATTTTTGAAAGAAATTCAATCTCTGTGAAACAAATGTATGCATTTATCTTTATGAGCGGCATCTATCAACTAATGTAGAGATTGTGAAACAATAACTGAGATACAGCGAAGAAAATATTTCAATAAATAAGCGAAAAAGTACGTATTTTTTAAATAAACTTTACTAAATTCGTTTCAACAGCCCTGATTTGACACTCTTACATTCTTTGAATTATATCGTAAGAATTCCTATTTTAAATGTTACGACACTCCTGTAGAATTCGTTACGAAATCCATATAATTTTTGTACGTAAATGAAGCCCGTCTAGCACATACTTCATTACGAAATCCCTGTTGTTTCGTTGCGAAAACTTTGCAACTGTTAGGAACTTCTTGTAAAATTCGTTACGACAATCTTGTTTTTTCGGCTATCGCTATTTTCTGTGTTACGAAACCCCTGATATTTTCGTTACGATAATTCTCCACGTAACGAGTTGCAACGCCCCCGTTTAGATGCGTTGCATATAGAAAGCAATGTCTCGAAACGCAAAAATAGCGGTTCTTTCAAAAACTTTGAGTGGTAACGCTGTCTTGTACGAAATTTTCTTTAGTGGATACTGAAGGAGTTAGTAGTTTTCAAAAGTAAGCATCTAGTGAATCGTCAACCGTTAATATTTAAAATAAGTGGATTACTCTATGCTTAATTTTAAATAAAAGAAAATAGTTTTTCACAATTGGGATTATTCTGAATTTTTGTTCAACAAGTCAAGATAATGTTATATTTCAAAGTCATAGTGATGTACTTACTAAATCATT